CAATGGTCAAGTGTTCTGAAAATTATGTAAAGTTGCATACTATAATTTACACATATTTTACGGCATCCATCTTTTGGTATGTTATTTTTAAGACTCTAAAGCACCTTTTAAGACAAAAAACAAATTTTCGATTTTTTCAAAATTCTAGACCGGCTTCCCCCATTAAGATTGGATTGAAATTTCACCAACCGGAGCAAAATTCACTAAACACATATTTAGTAAATCTTGCTCTGATTGGCCAAATTCAATCTCGATATTAATCTGTAACTGGTTTTTACAGAATCATCGCGAATGAAAGAGTTGGAGTGCTTAAGGCCGGTATTCATAGTCAAATCTTGTGTATAAGACCGCCGTAATTTATTTTCATATGCTGTACGGCTCATTTCACTGGCTTCGAAGCATCTGAAAATGAATTTAAGACAGTCTCAAACATAAGACCGATTATGAATACCGGCCTAAGAGACTTAAGCGGACCGTACATTTAGTAACAATCACATGATAGAAATGAAAACATAAAAAATTTGTTATATTTATAAAATTTATTAACTATTTTACTATAAAAATAATTGCAGTGATATTCAATGTGTCAGATTGTGTGATATCTTCACATCATATCTTTAGAATATCATTACAACTTTTATCATTCCTGTAGTTTTTCTGCACTGTAATTATATTCATGTGATTACAATAATCTCTAAATTCTAGAAATAATAGATATTAAAAAATTGCAAAATATTAATGAAAAAACAGGTGCATAAAATTTTTTGAAATTTATTTTCATCTTGTTCTCATAACGCTTATAAATATGATAAGGGCATTTGAAAGAAATTGAAGACTATCAGGAGACAATATAATATATATTCAATTAATGGGAATATATTTACAATAAAATAATACGATGTATATTCAATTAATAGAATATATTTGTAAAAGTTTCAACAAGAAATAATCGTAGAAAAACGATACTTCGTATGTTTCATACATACATATATATATAATTTGGCAATATATTGTCCTGAAACGCAGAATAAAATATCACTTTATAATTTATAACTTAATCTTGAGAGAAAATCCGAACTTTTTATATATATTTTTTTATATTATATACAAGGTGTCCCAAACTAATCTTGGTTCCCATGGTGTGCAAGTAAAACGGGTGAAACTGAGTAGAAAAATCCTATACTTTTTTGCAAATAACATGCAAAATTTCGAGTTATCAATGATTGAAAATTGCCATGCATAGAGGCTTCTTTAATTAATAACTCCACAATTTGCGTGTTATTTGCAAAATGGTAAAGAACTTTTTGTTCAGAGTGGCCTAATTCACAAATATGTGACAATTGTTGTACCTAGCGACAGACATCGGTATATTGAACTTCGACCCTTGAACCTTTACCTTATCGTTAGGTACAATAGTTGTGTACTTATAGAGTAGACTATTCGGGACAAAAAATTCTCTTATCATTTTGCAAATAACATGCAAATTATTGAGTTATTAATTAAAGAGGCCTCTATACATGGCCATCTTCAATCATTGATAATTCGAAATTTTGCGTGTTATTTGCAAAATGGGACTTTTTTGCTTAGTTTCACCCGTTCTACTTGTACACCAAGATTAGTTTGGGATACCCTGTATATGTGCGTATTCTTAATATATTATATTAATATAACGTGAAACACACACATATACAATACACATATAGCCACATAAAAATGAGAAATTTGATTCGATGGGATATGCAAATGACTCAATATTACTGATCAGTCAAATATATTAATTAGAAGAATATCAGAACGAACTATACTGGTAGAATTATACTGGAGTGAACCTTTGGCTGGAAGAAAAATATTTTTACAGGAAATACTACTTCCAAAGATTTAACTTGCTGATTAAGAGCAGTAATGTCGTACACACTATTATCATTAAAAAAATGCACATAATATTTTTGAGAGAGAAGAAATGACGAGAGGAAAGGAATTTATTGGAGAAGTCATCCGTAACGGTCTCAAACGAATATTATTTAAATGACGTACTTGGAATGGGTAAGTATGAACAAGACTCGTGCTACATTCCTGCTTTATAAAAGAAATATTGTCATATTTAATATTTATATATTTAACAGACTGGGACAGATGACCTTTGCAAATATTTAGTAAACAGAAACAGACGACATCGAAGACTAATGGTAACTTCAATTAGAATTTGTTGTCAATAACACCACGGAAACAATACAAAGTTGTTCTATCATTGTTATAGATACGTTCGAAAATATAACTGTTAATTTTTCGCTTGTGAAATTCTGCACGCGTGCTTTTAACATGACTTTTCTGATCGTTCAAGCTTCAAACACATGTGATATTAATATATTAATATAATATATTAAGAATACGTATATATGTGTATATATATATATATGTGTAAAATAATCTTCTTCTAAAGTTAAATAATTTCTTATCAGATTATAGAGAAGAGTATAAAGGACTCGTATACATTCATTATTAGAAATCTACCAAATAATCTCGCTTATATACATTATATAAATAGCATATTGCGTAATGTTTTAATTTTAAATTAATAATGGACGGCTCGTAATTATAAAAAGGCACCGACATTTATCTAAAATTTATCTCCTGTTTCTTTTCGTTATTACTTTACCACGTAATAAACTGGCAATTTGGCTATACGAAATTTGAAAGCTCAGTTCATAAAAATGTACTAGAAACCGCCGTCAATATAATCGTCGTAACTAAAAATATCATATTTCACTCAATATAAAATATTTCATTGAAACTTGATGAACTTTAATCATTATAATGGACGTTAATATGTCATTATAATAGATGACAGAATGAATAGATATTTATAAATACAGATACAAAATTGCTTTAGCTGGAAAACTATTAATAATTAATAGCTATTAATAAGTTAAAAGTACCGTTACAAATATCTCTTAAACTTGTGCACACCGTAAAGAAGATAATTATCTGTTAATCTGAAACTAGAATGCAATTTCAGCGTATTTAGTAATTACAGTCACATAGAAAATATCATCTTATCTTCTCTCAGCTTGCCGAACTGGCTTGTCTTTCCATAGTTTCCTGAGAGGAACCGTTTGCACAGAAACATCATCAGTCATTTCTGGTCTCATTTCTCTTAAATATCCGTCCAAATGCGTTGCTTACGTATAAGTATATGTATATAATGGGTATTACGAAAACTATTAGGAAAGTATATACGAAAAGCTGTCTCCAAGACAATCCACAATCGTCTCCGGAACAATTGAATATCTCCTTCATCATTCCTATACGTTGTCTATCGCTACGTAAACTATCGCTTTCTGTATGTGAAATTTTCTCGCTATTGTTGTGCGACAATAAAGGCGTACATACTGAGTTCAAAATGATCGTATTGATTTCACTACCTGAAGATTGTATGTTCGTCGAAGTGGAATCATACAATTCTCGTTCAACGAATTCTTCCTCGCTGCTTCGCGCGGATGTAGCGTCATCGTCATCACATTCTTGTTTGTCAGTTAATGTTTCAGTTAAGACTGAAAATGGCTGTACGGGCACCTTAATGTAAGGTTTGGCATGTATTTCGTTTTCCTTGTCAATCTTGTTAATTTGCTTCAGCGCAGATATCTGAAATTACACAAAAGTATTAAAGTATCAGCATAATAAACCTATATATATATAATATAGACCATATTTACTTACTGTACAACTATAACGAAGAGCCAACGCTTGTAAGGTATCGTCAGGCTTTATTTCTACATTAATCACTTCGATTTTACGAGGCCCCAACGAAGATTGACTGATGTTTAATAAAAAAGTATTGTCTTCATCGCAGTCTTCTTCGTCCAAGTACACATACTGTGGGGAACCATCCTTTTGCCCTCCGCGTAAATGAACCCCCTGTCTAAATATTCGTCATTTTTATTATCGGTGATACATACACATATCTTTCTATTTTAATTTATTTTTCTCTTATCATATAATTTATCTCAATCAATACAATTTATAATCAATTTGATATGCAATATTTATAAAAAGGATCTCATTAAAAAGAGATAATTTTTTCACGAAAATAACTGACTACCATTTATTATATATGTGTATTAATTCGATTTAGATTACCTGTCCATAATTCTGTCATAAAAGTGTTACATAAACGTAAAAAATAAATTGATGACACGTCAAAATACTAAGCGGGTAACCTCGAATTAAAATCATACGGCGCTCTTCTCCCGTGTTATCGATTTCCGCAGCATTCTGTTATTATATTTGAAACTGGCTCGTTTTCTGGACGGGGAATTAATCCGTCTATCACGTTCGTGTAGAAGGTTAAACGTGAAAAAAATATGTTGTCGCAAACAATGTTGTGACAGACAGGCGCGCAAGCGTATGCAGCGGACAATCGGATTTGGTTGGGTCAGGTCAGGTTAGATCAGGATTTTGCCAGATGACAACACTCGGAGTGTTACATTCTCAATAACCGTTTAAATCGATCGTTATTCAAAATTATGGAATATGTGGAAGAGGGTGAAACGCTAAAAGATAAGAGCCAATGCGCAAGCATTCGCGCCGAGCTGAAGATGTGTCTGCTTGAAAGCGATTGCTGTAAGATTGTAAGTAAACGTGAACACTCGTGCTGATCTAACCTCTTTTAACAATGTATGTACGCTTCTGCTTCAAATATTTAAATACACATAAATAATATTTAAGGATAAGTATATAAATAATATTTAAGGATAAGTAATGTGCGTCTTTCTCGATAGCTCTCTTTTGTTTTCTCGTCAGCGCAATCGCTTAAGAAAAATATAAATATGTATATATTACACTATAGGAATACGTATTACACTGTGATTTGTATGATGAAATCTGTAGTAAAAGTTTTTTTTAGCTATAAATTCGGTTTTCTCAGCTTTGAATTATAAATTTTGATAAACACGCAGAATACACACTTCGTAGATTTAAATAAAATTTGATGCTACGCATTTTTGTGGATAGAATATAAGGATTAATATATAAATTATATTTAAATATATAAATATATAAATAAGGATTAATATATAAATAATATTTAAGGATAAATAATGCGCGTCTTTATAATATAAAACCCAGTAATTGACTCTCCGTCGGCAAAGGGACACATCAAAAACCCAATCAATACTTTCATTGTGAATTCTAAAATAATTAGTTCATAACGGTGTTCGGTAACTTATCGTGAGAAACTTAGTAATAGTAAGATGATATGTGGAAACGTTAATATCCAGTTGTCCATCTTTGAATAAGAACAGTTAGAACATGATTTTTGATGATGATAGTGACTTTAATATGTAGAAACATTTGCTAATTAATAATTTGGATTTTTTTGCGTTGTACATATTTTTAACGCTGCTTTTAACGAATACACGTAAAAGATTTAGTTTTTACAATGCTTTTTTAAAAGCGATTTGTCTTTGTTTTGTATAATTTTTTTCTGATTTTAATAAATATATAAAGATTTTTCTTTGTAAATAGATTTTTTATGTTTAAAATATTTCCATGATAAAACAACTATTATATTGCTATGCATTGCGTGCTAAATGCAGTGTGCGAGGAGCACCGCGTACATTATTGCATAGACTATGTTACATAAATATTTTTATCGTTTGTATTTTCTCGCATATACACTAATTTTGATAAATAAACTGAATTTGATAATTAATTTGCTGTAAAATTGATTTTGTTATTTATTCTTTTCAAATGAGACTTTCTCACAAGAATCTTTATTATCAGGAGCTCAAAAAATTCAACTTTTTTGGAGCCATCACCATTACATTATTTTTTTTCCGATTATTTTTTTTACATATTTTCAAATATTATAGCCTAAACAGATTTTTTTTTTCACTTGTATAAAAATTGTGAATTTTTAACTGAAATCCCGTTTCTTCCACGTTTCTGTTCCGATTTTTATCTACAAAGAATAAATAAAATGTAATCCGATTTGTACGATGTTTGTCTGGTATATTTGTAAAAACTTGTTATTAAAGCTTTTACAAACATACAAGAATTTTTTTAGATTTTTATACAATATTCGGTACAATGTAAAAACATGCATTTCCATAAAAATTCCGAATTTCCCACGGAAGATGCCAAATGCAACATTGCTGACGGAGAGTTAAGATCAGAGAGTTCTAATTGTGTCATTATAATTATATTTGATTATGATAGACTGATAACATGCGTGCGCGCGCACACACAGACTTAACAGTTGTAAAGATGTTATATATGTATAAAATGATAACAGTAATATATTTTATTTTTGTTCTTTTATTACAGTATAAGCGTACACCCAGAGAATGCCTTAAAACACATGATGGTACAGTGCCCGATAAATGTTATGCTTTACGCAACACATTTTTCGAATGTAAACATTCTCTGGTAAGTACGCATGAATTTATATATTAAATTGTAAATAAGTCACTTCTAACTTAGGATACAACCGATATACAATGTTTGCCTTAGATGATTTCAGATTCATCTAGATAAAGATGAGATGGAAATCCGAAAAATTCATCTTAGACGAGATGAAGATGATTTTGTTTTCGATTTGTCTAGATGAAAGATAAGTAGTACTACTTATACTCTAGATCATTTTTTAGATGATATTGTTTTCATGAGAGACTATAAAAGTTCATGATAAAAATTACGCAGATCATAAAATTGCACAACGGTTAAATAATTCGTCAACGTATCGCTCTAAATTTAAGGATCTAACGAAAAAGACCAATGATAATCATTGACTACTCACTCACAGTCGACAGTTTGATACGGGCTTAAAGTGGATTAATCAATTGAAACAAATGGTCTGTTCTTTTTAGTTGCACTGCCGAACTGATGCAATAAATTAGAGTGAGACAAGTATATTTTGTCTTGCTCTAACTTATTGCACCGGTTTAGCAGTGCAGCTAAAAAGAACAGACCAAGGAGGCAAAACCGAAATTTGCTGATTCTAATGTTGAAATCTAATCTTCAATCCCTGGTCTGATATGGGCTTAACATATTAGTCGTATTATTTCATTCATTTTATCGAAAAGCGAATTCAAAATATGGACCATAACATCATTTTAGATAATTTTTAGATAAGATAACACATTTTCTTTAAGATGAAGACGAATATATTTTGTATTTCTTCCATCTAGATAAAGATAAAGACGATCTGTTCATTCATCTGGATCATTATCTAGATACTTATTTTATCTAGATACCGGAAAACATTGTCTATATGGTATAAAAGCTTATAGTAACGTTGCTATAACGTTACAATAATGTTAACGTTAGTTCTTGTGCTATGCGGGAAAATAAACTAATGAATTTCAGACATCAGTACAGTTTTCTCTTTCTTTTATAGCTCGACAGAAGACGGAGATTTAGGGGTCCCAAAGGAAATTAGAATTGCGATATAAGATATATTTTATTTCTTATATCTTAGTAAATAATTCATGTTGACCGAAGTATCACCATTCCTGTTTGACATTTCTCTAAGACGTTCTTGTAAATGTCGGCAAACTGAAATCGGGGAATGCAAACGTAACTGGTGAAGGTGGGGAAAACATATGTAATTTAATATTCAGAAGTGATTTATTAATTATTTCTCGTCATATATTCGTTGTACACGATTTTAATAAATGTATCATATTTGCGAAGCAACAAACGCGCCGTACAATTCACCGCATTTGTCCTATGTGTGTCGCGATACAATTCCCATCGAAAACTCCTGTTTCCTCACAAGGTAATCCTAACTCAGAAATATGATGTTTCGTACGATCGCGAAGTTACCTTGAAAAAGATGTACTCCTGCAAAGAGCGAAAGTTCCTTCGTAGATAAAATGTGAAATGCCGCGAATCGCTTCTCGTAGAACAAAAGCGGTCGTAATGTTGAAATCCTTTCGGTATATTTTCGCGCCGTGAATCGCATGCGTTTGCATTAATAATTTCGTAGAAAGTAGTGATTTCGTACTATGTACCAATCTTTCTCCAATAATTCAGCAATATCATTCAAAAGCAAAGTAATATTTAGCAGTCGAATGAATGAAAATCAGCGGAAAATCACCCGGCTCTTACGATTCTCCTAATATATGATATCCAGTCTTCTCTCTTAAAGTAACATCGTGTTGAATCCCTCCCCCCCCCTGCCATTTTTCATATACATGTGCGAAATATCGTGCGAAATCCAAACGTATAAATCAGGGATTCGGACCGAAACCGAGACCGAAAACCGTTTACGTATGGAAACCGGTATTTTTGTCGGACTGGAACCGTAAATTGTACCGAAATTTTATAAAGTCTACAGAGCCGAAATCGAAATCGGAACCGTTACATTTTTTCTTGGTTTGCGGTTTTTTTCGGTTCTTATTCTGTGATTTTAAATAATCGTTTTTTTTTCATTTCATAATAAAATTCTGGTTCACACAAAAAAGAGAATATTGATTATCGCGACAACTAAAAGATAAACTTCCAGCATACGATATTCAACAGAAGAGGATTAATAGAAGAAGTAATATATTACAATTTTAAAGTAAATAGAAAAACAATCAATCGTGAATTGTACAAATTACTCTAACGAAACATGTATATTCTGAGAAAGATCGGAGAATATCGAGATATTTTCTGAATATTCTCATAATCTACATAATTTACGTGTTCCGTTAGGCAGAGGTTACAAATAATGAGGATGATATTATATATCCAAACAAATTAAGAGCAGAAAATGGAAATAGTGAAGAAATGCCATCTACATCGAGGCAGTGATATTATTATTTTTTATAATATATTATTGCACAGATTATATATATATATAATTTAAGGCAATAAAAATTTCAGTAAGGAAACTAAGGAAACTAATTATTAATGGAACCGGAAATGAAAAAAACCGCAATTTAAAGCGGTTTGGTGGTATTTTCATTGTCCAGAAAACCGAAACCGGAACATTTTTTATTAAATGTTTTAGCGGACCAGAATCGGACCGATATTTTCATTCGGTCCGAGTCCCTGGTATAAATATACAATGAAGAAATGCGAATGTAATAACCAGGCATGTTTGGTCGGTGCAGTTTGACCGTAACAAATATTTCTCTCCGCAGACGATATGCGTATCGTAGACTAAATACCATTGGCCGAGCGTTTAATGTAATTACTGTATCTCAGTTGCGCTTTTTTTTTAGTTTTCGCATACACGGATGCGCGTGTATCGAACATGATACGCTTTGTGATCACAGTAGAATCGCGCGTAGAATTTCTTCTTTTTTCTTTTTCTTTCGTCCCTTTTTCTTACAATTAAGAATACTTTGTTCCACTTTGTGTGTTCAGCGAGTATGTATCCGGCGAGTATGATAAGCACGCCGTGTTACACGGATATATATATACATATATATATCGTTATCTTATGAAAAATCTATCCAGATGACGATCACGCCTGCGCAATCGCCCTATATTGTCTGTGTATGCAACAAGCGTATATATTGGCTGTACGATTTTCTTTTTTTTTCTTTTGTCTTTTTTTCTCTTTTTCCTTTTTGTACTACAATGCCGACTCACGCTACTCCTTCGCTCTCTAAAATGGCTATAGGCACCTAGAAAATGGGATTTGCATATAAGCTTTTCCCTCGCTCTACTTTCGTCTTTCTTGCAGAAAACCCAGGTAGGTTTTTCAACGTGGGTAAAGTACGAATTCGTGAATTATCGTGAACGAAGTGGTAATCGTAAGTGAATAATTTCCGCAAATATCTTTGCGATATTTTCCGTGATAAGTTTCTTTCGATAGAGTGATTGGAATTGTCATTTTTTAAACATGTATGAAATAAGAGGTAAAGAACGGTCTAAGAAGAAAAAGAGGTCTAACGTCGCTTGTTTGTCCTTCGGATAAAACGGATCTGACAACGACGAGAGAATTAAGTCCGATCTACAATGTGCTTTTTCCCCATAAGCGCGTAATATTCATACAATATTATATAAATGTTACTCAATATTCAAGTAATATTCTTATAATATTCTAAGAATGTTATGTAACATTTTTTAATATTATAGGAATGTTCTATTGATATTATATGTCCACTTCACATAATATTCTTGGCATATTATAAAAATATTCTTAGAATATTAAAAAAAAATAGAAATATTGAAAATATTAAAAATAATAATAATATAGAAAAATATATATAAATAAAATATACATATCACACACACACACACATACACACACACACACACACACACACACACACACAGAGTTGAATATAAAAAAAAAATATATAATGTTACAATAACAATAAATAATATTGTTTTTTAAATATTATTAGGAATGAACATATAACCATCTATTATTCCAGAAATATTACTTAATATTAAATAATATTACTAGAATATTATTAAAATATTACATCTAATATTCTCAGAATATGGCTAGTATGTTACTTAATATTAAATAATATTACGAACTTATAGAATTGTTTTTCGTTTCTTGCTCTCTTGATTGCTCTCTATTGCTTTCTCTTTTCCGTAAGTAAAGAGAAATTCTTACGGAAGACAGATAAAGAGCAAGGAACAAGACGCGAAAAGCACACATTGTAGATCAAACTTAACTACTAAACCTACAGAATAAGATGCGTGTATAAAAATTTATTTTTAATCTTCCATCATCATTTCATCTTACGGGAGCAAATTGACGAAATTGACAAGTTTTCAGAAAATTTAAATTAAACGGGATCCTAATTTATTTGTAAATTTTTCAGTTTACGTCAATAATAGGTAAAGCTTTAATTATTCAGGAAAAGAAAAGCATCATTTATACGTCACTACGAAAATGAGGAAAAATTAATGAAGTCTAAAGTCGTCATTTTATCCCTTTTTCTTCAATATTAGGTGAACATTCATTTATAGATACTTAACGCTCCTGAATACTCGTTATGGCTATCCTTCTTTAATGACGTCAGAAGCAAGGAAATGCCCATTTATGTGACAGTATATGTGGAAATGATCGTGATCAATTCGGCAAATTTGTAAAAATGTCCGAACACTTTCCTTTAACCTGAACTGAATTAATAAATAACCGTAAAATTAATGTAACAGAAATCACGAGGAAAAAAAATTGATCAAAAACGTAAGTTCCATGCAGGGACCTGGACCAGAACCGAAACCGAAAACCGTATGGAAACCGGTATTTTTGTCGGACCGGAACCGTAAATCGTGCCGAAATTTTATAAAATTTACAGAACCGGAACTGAAACTGGAATCGTTACATTTTTTTCGGTTTGCGGTTCTGTTCACTACTTCGGTTTTTATTCTATGATTTTAAATAATCTTTTTTTTTTTCATTTCATAATAAAATTCTAGTTATCACGACAAATAGAAAAAAAACTTCAAGCATACGATATTGAATAGAAGAGGATTAATAGAAGAAGTAATATATTATAATTTTGAGGTAAATAGAAAGACAATCACCCTAAATTGTATAAATTACTCTAACGGAATATGTATATTCTGAGAAAGTTTAGAAAATATCGAGATATTCTCCGAATATTCTCAGAATCTACATAATTTCCATGTTCCTAAAGAAAGAGGTTACAAATCACAAGGATAATGTTATATATTCAAAAAAGTTAAGAGCAGAAAATAGAAATAGTGAAGAAATGCCATTTATATCGAAGAAGTGATATTATTATTTTTTATAATATATTATTGTACACGATATATATATATAATTTAAGTTAATAAAAATTTCATTAAGGAAACAAGTTTTAAGAATTGGAACCGAAAAAAAACCCTAATTTAAACGGTACTTTCATTATTTAAACGGTACTTTCATTATCAGAAAACGGAGTGGACCGATATTTTCATTCAGTCCGAATCCCTGGTTGCACGTTACACTAATTTACGGCTATTTATTAATTGTTCAGATTGAAGGAAAAGTAATCGTCGGGATTTCAACATTCGGAGTTTGTAATTTATCCACGTGTCCGCGCTATCCGTCGATCGAATTCCGCGAGAGCGTGAAAATTCCGCGTATACGGATATGTATTATCAAATACGAAGATAATCAATAAAAGAGAGACTTGAAGTTGCGATCTACCGCGAAGAGAGTCGATCTCCCGAAGTTCCGACTGCCACGTGCCTAAGTCACTTAAAATCGAATAGCATTTCAAGAGTAGAGTTTCGAGAGGGTGCTTTTCTCTCTCCTTCTCTCTCCCCCATTGTGATATATACCGCCGCTCTTGCCCGAATATCACAGTTTATCGAGTATGATATGTAGTTAGCGATTATTCGATAGTGATTCGATAGTTACCAATAGTGGTAAAAGTATGTCGCGCGTGTGTCGCGTTGTGTTTGTGTGTATGTGTGTGCGCTGCTCGTAGGGGGGTCTTACACGTCTTCGAACGATTCTCACGGCGTTAAGCGGGGGTCTACAATGAAAGTTTAAGGCGTAAGAAATTACTTAATAAAGATAGATAAGATTTAAGAAATCGATCAATCACAGTCGAATTATAGAAGAAAAATCTTGTGATTGGTCAATTTCTTAAATCTTACGCCTTAAATTCTCATTGTAGACTCCCGCTTTAGTTCCGAACTATAATAGATATTTTAAGCTTTAAGTCTTAAGAAATTGGTCAATCACAGTCGAATTATGAAAGAGAAATCAATTATGATTGGTCAATTAAAGGAGAAAAATCAATTATGATTGATCAATTATAAAAGAAAAATCAATTATGATTGATGAATTATAGTTGAAAAATCAATTATGATTGGTCAATTTCTTACATCTTGCGTCTTAAATTCTCATTGTAGACTCCGCTTTAGTCCCGATCTACAATAGATGCTTTAAGCCTTCAAAAATTGATCAATCACAGTCTCAAATGTAAGGAGAACAATCGACTGTGATTGATCGATTTCTTAAGGCTTAAAACACCTATTGTAGACTAGAACTTATCTGTGCGGTCTCTGCGCTCGGTTTTTCGGAGAGAGAATCGACAATTCTCGCGCATTCTCGACTTGCTTTCGATGGTTTTCGCTCATTTCGGACACTCTTCCTCCAACGTTGTTATATATATCAACAAGCCTCCCCGCCACCTATCGCCCAGGTTTTATTATTGCTAATTGTTCCATCTTGTTTCGTGCTCGTTCGGTGACCCTACCGGAGCGAGGCAAGGCTTGCATATTGAACGAAATAGGAAAGTCGAAAAATACAAACAGGTCCAGTGGCTAAGTGTTTAAGTCTCGGGCATGTAGGTCGTTTTTTCCGTCGATTTTCTTCGACAAGACTCGTCTAAAGCGTATACGAAGTTGCGTTCCTTATGATAGGAAGGAAATCACAGTGTGTCTCGTTCATTAGCGGCGTTCGTTCACGACGATATTTTTCGATTTTCATAAATTACTGTTGTGCTTCCTTTCTTGGCACCCGCTGCTGCTGCTGCTCTAATTGCGTATCTGCAATTGAAATGGGCGACGGTTAGAAACAAAAGTATTAACCGATGTTTCTCGATCGTAGTTGCTACTTTATAAGCGTGTAATATTTCTAGAATATTATATGAATATTATTTAATATTAAAATAATATTCTTATAATATTCTAAAAATGTTATGTAATATTTTTTTAATATTATAGAAATGTTCTTAGAATATTAAAAAAAAATACTAATAATATAGAAAAATATATATAAATGAAATATATATATATATATACACATGGTTTGTCCGGAAAGTAATGTCATTGAGTCGATTAAAAAAAATTTATTGAACTTTTCGTTACAACACATCAAAATTCTTCAAAATAGGCTCCTCATGCGTTGACACATAGGCTCCAGCGAATTTTCCAGGCATCAAATGCGCTACGGTAGGCCTCCTCCGGAATGTCCTTTAAAGCCGCGGTGCAAGCTGCTTGGATCCCCTCAATGGTCTCGAAATACTTTCCTTTCATGGGTCTTTTCAAGTGTAGAAAAAAAAAGAAGTCGGGGGGAGCGACGTCCGGACTGTATGGAGGCTGGGGAATCGTTGGCACCCCTGCTTTGGCGAGGTAGTTGGTGACGAGGAAGAACCATCTTTGCGCACACTTTTCGCATGTTCAAATTGTTTCTAATGATCTCATGAACGATAGTTTTCGGAATGTCTAATAACTGTGATAGTAAACGGACATTCAATCGTCGGTCTGTGTTCAAAAGTTCTTTCACTCGCGTCACATTGTCGTCCGTGGTGCTCGTCGATGGCCGTCCGGCGTGGGCTTCGTCGTCGACCTCTTCTCGGCCTCCCAAAAAAATCTTGTGCCACTGGAACACTTGCCGATCCGACAGGGCATCTTCTTTAAAAGCTGTTTTGATCATTAGATGAGTTTCCGCCACGGTCTTGCCAAGTTTAACGTAAAACTTTATCGCCATCTTTTGTTCTAACGAGCGCTGCATTTTTACTTGCACGAGGTCACAAGACGACTTGCACGGAAACGCATGTCCTTACTATGCGGCTGGCGGGAGAAGACTGAGTGACTCAACATTCGTTAGCTGACTTCCCCCTCTACTATTCCCAACCGATCCGAGCGCGCTCTGACGGTCAATCGCGTAAAAAAAATCACTGACATTATTTTCCGGACAAANTATTAATATTGGGAGTACAAATATATATATACAAATATATATAGTTGAATATTGAAAAAATAATATTATTTAATATTATTAATATTAAATAATATTACGCACTTATGCGGTAATAGAAGCCATTCGTGCTGTCATCAACATCTCCGATTAATTAAGAGTAAAATGAGAGATACAATGAAGAAAGAGCGCGAACGATATACCGTTTTACTCGGATTTTTTCGCGGAGATGCACGTGATGCGACTCGTGACGATGCGCCTCGCAGATTCCAAGAGCCGGGTGAGGAATCAGAAACACACGGAGGGCCTGTAGAGCCCGGTGTATCCGCACAGGCGCGCACGGAGCGCCGGCAGTAGTATCGCCGCCGCGGACAGATTGTCTTGCAGCTGCGAGCACTCGCAGATCAACAGATACATCTTGTCGCCTTGCGACATCGATTTGTGCAACGTGATGCGCCTCAACCCTACCGATTTCGGCAGGTATCGGTACATCATACGCGCGCCTGCAACACAACAAAAGTACATACCTTTCGTTACATTGTACTACAAAAGACATAGGAAGATCCTTGCTTTTCTACGTTAATCCTTCGTTGGCATATTTATTTTTCGCTATTTAGCGACACACTGGGTGGCTCTATGAGATCTAGTATGTGAGTGAGTGAGTGAATGAGATATATAGAGAGAGAGAGAGAGGGAGAGAATGTGTGATAAGATAAATTATTTCATTGTACTTCGTCTCTTAATGAATATCTCATGACGTGGAGATCGAGTTCAGCGTAAAATGAAAACGGCACATAGCAAGGAACGTGTTAAAATTCGAATATCTTTTAAAGATACATTCTGGCAGGTAAAATTTGCAAACGAGAACCTTGTCACACCGTATATAGTTGAAAATTTGGTAAAAGGATGAGGGAAATTGCATCGTATCGTCAATTCGAGATGAATTCTCGCGTTGACAAATATCTGAGCATAAGATCTCGAGTTATACTCAAAAATATCACGAAAAAAGAAATTGTATTAGAACGTGTGAATGCACACCTGTCCAGTAGAGCCAGTTTTGTTCGAACTTGAGACCGTCGTCGCCCTCGAAAACTTTGAAGATCGACACTATGTAGCCGGTGGACGGAATAGGCGGTCTTCCACCGGGCGGCTCGAGCGGCGGTCTCGCGATAGTCGCCACCTCGTTGAACAGATCCAACGTGTGGCTCGCCGCGTACCTGAGGTCTCGGGGATCGAACTTACGTAGGGCCGCGCATTGCACTTCGTTGTAAAAGTCCACGGGGTCCGTGTTCTGCTTGTTTATCAGATAATAAGTGATGAACGGGAAATCCGCTGAAACGGAGCACGGGAGCTCAGGTAAACGATCTTAGAAGGACTCGTCGTTATGTCGTCTGCTCGGGTTTTGTCAGTATAGAATCGGTCTCGGTGGATAATTTGGACTGAATAATCGCTGAATAATTGATATTTACTCGGATGATGTTCTCTAAAAATTAAGTCTTGTTGAAAAGCAAAGTGATCGTCGCATCATTCGAGAATTTGCGTGATTCTTCGTTCATACAAAGTGAATATTTTCATTTGACACATGAATTTGACATGATTTTCAATTGCAAAATGAATTTGACACATTTCACCGTCACAGGAATACATTCGCTCTAATCGAACATGTGAAGTTAGAACCGCTTTAAGTGAAACACTCACTTCTGCAATTTCAAACGACAGTGTTTTTTCGCCTCAAGTGAAAATACCGTCACTTTCCGCTCATTTTGAGTAAAATTATCTCAAGAATTTTTGATAGTAGGAACGACATCATCACTTCTATATATTTTAGAGGCACAATGTGAGTGGTAGTTTTAGCAAAAATTACTGGATGAAATTTTACACTTTCATAGTTCAAGAATTGCAGTTTGAAGTAAAAAAAAGTCATAGCACTCTAGTTACACGGTTTGTGTTGCAAACGTCGTCACGATGTTTTCACAGGCAAATTTACGAGCTTCTTGTTAGGTCCGCTAATAAATGGCGTCAGGAAACACAAGTAGTCTCTCGATCTATCGGGTTCGTATTGTATCCCGTAATTAACAGTGTTTGCCAGTATCTAAATAAAATTACCTAAATAACCAGATGAATAGATAGATAACCAGAAATAGATCATCTTTATCTTTCTTATCTAGATGGAAGAAATACAGAATATTATTCATCTTTATCTTAGATAAAAAAAACATATCATCTCGTCTAAAAATGATCTGAAATGATGTTATGGTCCATATTCTGAACTCGCTTTCGACAAAATGAATGAAATAATATAGACCTATGCGTTAAGCCCGTATCAGACTAGGGATTAGAGATTAGATTTTAACAAATCAACAAAATTTCGGTTTTGTCTCCTTTGGTCTGTTTTCTTAGCTGCACTGCTGAATTGGTGCAATAAGTTAGAGCGAGACAAAATATACTTGTCTCACTGTAACTTATTGCACCAGTTTAGCAGTGCAATTAAAAAGAACAGACCATTTGTTTCAATTGATCAATCCACTTTAAGTCGTATCAAACTGTCGACTGTGAGCAGTTAATGATTATTGGTCTTTTTTGTTAGATCCTTACATTTAGAGCGATTATATTGACGAATTACTTAACCGTTGTGCAATTTTATGTATGATCTGCGTGATTTTTATTCTAAAATTTTATAAAGTCTCTTATAAAAACAATATCATTAAAAAAATTATCTAACTAAGCAGCGCTACTTATGTGATCTTTCATCTAGATGAATTAAAGTCAGAATGATCTTCATCTCATCTGAGATGAATTTTTCGGATTTTCATCTCATCTTCGTCTAGATGAATCTGAAATAATCTAAAGCAAACACTGGTAATTACATACCGTTCTTCTCCATGTTCGTGAGTAAAATGCTCTGTGATGCGGAAGGCGCTATCTCGGCGACCAGTTCCGCCGCTGTGTCGCGTTGCAACACCAGCGGCCGGGACACCGGAGACTCAACTAAAGGGTCCAGAGGTTCCAATGGCGTCATGAAATGCGCGAGAACACATTGCTTCGGATCCTCCACCTCCAGAACTGACAGGGGACTGCCAGGTCTCTTCTTGTCGGCGACTGGGGCATGCTGTACACACAAAAAGTTTGTAAAAATTGACTTGAAATATCAGTTGTACTCCATACATAACTTGTACTCCATGTACCCTACAACCTTGCTTTAAGAAGCCTTAGAAGCACTCTTAAGTGTGCAATACTTCTCACCTTTTCTCTTTCAGACTTCTATCGATAAAATTTTCATTGCTATATTTGGACTGTTTTTTTTTTATATTTTTCTAATATCTTAGGGATAGGTGAATGTAAAAAATGTCAAAATACATATCTCGTTAACTGCAAAAATGTTGTAAATAACGAAATTAAAAAAAAAATGCCTATCTTTTAAAGAAAAACATTTTCCAACGATTTTTCAAAAATTTAGATGTTAAAATTATATATAGGGTTTTTTGAGGTGATTACGAATCTGACGTCAGAATTAGAAGATTTTCAAAATCAATGATGGCGGTCCAATATGGCGGGCTGAAATTACAGCAAATCAAGCAATTCTCTTCAAATGTGGTATGTAAAGAGTTTTCGAGTCGCTATTGTTAAATACGAGGTCTGTTCAAAAAGTATCGCGAATTTTGAATTTCCGCGGGTTACGTATATTAGATTTTCGATTTTTTTGTGGCGTTATGTTGGTACTCATGTCCCTCACTTATGCCGACAAGTTCGGCCATTTTGAATATTCAGTTTATCTTTGACAGCTGTTTTGCTTAGACGTGTTTTGGCTCGTCTTCGATTTTTGCCTATTCCAAAAAATGGATCAAAGAATCTGTATCAAATTTTGTGTGAAAAACAAAATTAAGTGCGCGGACGCATTCCGAATGTTGACTGTGGCATATGGTGAAGCTACCTTGGACCGAAGCAACGTTTATAAGTGATACAAAATGTTCTCAGAGGGCCGAGAAGATGTGAACGACGAAGAGCGTGTCGGACGCCCGAGCACGTCAACAACAGACGAAAACTTGATGAAGTGAAGAAAATAGTATTGGCCAATCGTCGAATCACCGTTAGAGAAGTTGCTGAGGACCTAAACATATCGATTGGCTCGTGCCATTCGATTTTTACTAATGATTTGGGCATGAGACGGGTCGCCGCGAAATTCGTACCAACGCCCCTGCTCACACATCGTTGCTTGTGCGCGAATTTTTGGCCAAAAACAACACACTAATGATGCCGCAGCCACCGTATTCCCCAGACCTGGCCCCCTGTGACTTTTTCTTGTTCCCGAAACTGAAGAGGCACATGAAAGGACGACGCTACGCTACGATTGAGGAGATAAAGACGGCATCGAAGGAGGAGCTGAACAAGATCACAAAAAATGATTTTTTGAAGTGCTTCGAGGATTGGAAAAAACGTTGGCACAAGTGTATAATATCTGATGGGGATTACTTTGAAGGAGACAAAATAGATATTCATGAATAAATAAATAATTTTTGAAAAAACACAAAATTCGCGATACTTTTTGAACAGACCTCGTACATGTTAAATACAAAATAGTAGATCAAACATGTAAAAATTCGGTGTCTATGGCTTTCACAGCTTCCGAGTACAAATTATGAAATGCGATATTCCGAAAACGAATTAGAGGGATTGAAATGATATAATTTACAGCATTAGAGAAAATCTTGCTTATATTAAATTTCTAAATAAAATTTTCATATATTATTCATGAATAAAATAAAACTGTTCTATCGTCTTCTATTGTCAAAATTGAGCTGAAAATTAGACCTTACGAAAATTTTCCAATTATAACCTTGGATTCGTTATCAATCTCAAACACTCCGAAATATCAAATTTAATATTAATAAATATTAATTTAAAAAATATTACTTTTCTAAATTTGAATTAACAAAACATTTTTTAAATTTTAATTAACAAAAAATTTTCTAAATTTTAAATAACAAAAATATTAATTTTCTAAATTTTTTGTAATTATCTTCGGCCATATTGGATCCGTGATCTTGAAATTTTCTATTTCGACTCAAAATGCGTAACCAGCGACCTCAAAAAATGTAGAATACCAAATTTTAAAGTGATTTGGTTTATTCGTTGCAATTTTGGTCCTCCATATCGGATCTGCCATCTTGAATTTAAAAAATGTTTCAATTTTGACTTCAGATTCGAGATTGACAACCTCAAAAACCCCAAATACCGGGTACCAAATTTGACAGAAAATAAGGGGGGGGGGAAATGTGTGCTTCAAAAAGTTAACACACGAACAGTAAGTAAATTGACCTACTATGGTCCTAAAATTGACCTAACCGTGGTTGATTTTTCTTCTGATAAACGACCGTGATTAGTCATTTTGCTCATTATTTACATTTTAAAATGAGGTTGCGGACAAAGGGGAAGTCGAGGAAGACAAGACGAAGCGAATGTCCGCGATAATTTTTTATACGACGATTGATGCGAATATGCGATAATTACTGTTTTATTGACTCGTAAGAGTACATGTGGGAATTCAATTGACCCGGAAATGTGAACAAATAAATATTTCTCCGTTCCGTTTTTATCTGCGACACCGACAGCACCTTTTCTCTACCACTCACTCTTGGATTTAGCGAAGTAGTATTAATAACACTCGAGAATCTCAGCTATAAAGCAGTAGTTTTATTCCTTGGATCACTTTGACCCTCACGAAAGCACGTAACTTTTTGTGGTTCAGTTCAGCGCATTGTTAAAAATTTATTACGGTTTTGCTGAAAATCTAAAGCTTATACAATTTCTGATGTAACTTATACATTTTCAAATGTTTTATTTACAAAAGTAAGTTATTACAAAAGAAAAAAAATGAATGATGAAGAATAAAAACAAAAATAAAAATATTCGCTAATGCTTTTAGTTATTTTTGTAACAATCTGCTGTAAAAAATTAATGTGCAAGGAAACAAACATGTACTTATAGTAAATTGATTGTGATAACGTAATATTAATTTTAGAATTATTGTGTTAGATTTAAATAGTCATATTATTTAAATGATACTCATATATTCTATGTGTTTATACTTTAATTAAAATGCAATAATAAAAATTTATTCGATCATTTTAAGTGTCTATATTTACTGTGTAAGTTGCAAGCTATGTGTTTACTAACCAAATACAAGAAAAAAAAAATATATAAATTTCTAAACATTTAAAAGTTATCATCTTACGTTTTATAAAATTGTTTCACTTTACAGTTATTTATAAGTAGAAATGAAGAATCTTGTTTATACGTAATACTTGTTGATTGTATCTTGTTTATACGTAAAATATGAATAAATTAAAGTATAGGTGAAATTGACTTTCATACGAATATTTACATCAAAATAGTCACGTTCCCGCTCTTACCGGTTAAATAACAGCGTCTCTTTCGGCAGGGAATCGCGACGCTGAGCTAAGCTTCATTACGAGTTGTCTGGTGAATGTATCGCGACTATTTTTGGACGTTCGACCACGCAAGGTCGCGGTTCGTTCGAGTCTAAGGCCAATAACTCAGCCGTTATAATTTTGGCAGACGTTTTTCCTGCTGTAATGGCCTTTGGCTACCACACACGGCATGTTTTTAGGGTTTTTCGACCGTACAAAATGTATTTCTGATAACGATATTTTATCGACTCGGACTATTGTATCAGACCATCATGGAGATTTCAACTGATTTTAACGAGAGCAAAGATCAATGACCAGTGTTTGCCTTAAATGATTTTAGATTCATCTAGATGAATATGAGATGAAAATCCGAAAAATTCATTTTAGATAAGATGAACATGCTTTTGCTTTTGATTTATCTAGATGAAAGATAAGACAAATGGCATTACTTATCTAGATCATTTTTTAGATGATATTGTTTTCATGAGAGACTTTATAAAAATTTATAATAAAAATTACGCAGATCATAAAGTTGCACAACGGTTAGGTAATTCGTTAACGTAATCGTTCCAAATTTAAGGATTTAATAAAAAAGACCAATAATCATTGACTGCTCATAGTCGATAGTTGGATACGAGCTTAAAGATTGATCAATTGAAACAAATGGTCCATTTTTTTAGTTGCACTGCTGAATCGGTGCAATAAGTTAGAGTGAGATAAGTATATTTTGTCTCGCTCTATTGCATCAATTCAGCAGTGCAGCTAAAAAGAACAGACAAAAGGAAACAAAACCGAAATTTGTTGATTCGTTGAAATTTAATCTCCAGTTTCGAGTTTGATATTGGCTTAACGCATAGGTTCATATTATTTCATTCATTTTGTCGAAAAATAAGTTCAGAATATGGACCATAACATCATTTCAGATCATTTTTAGATGAGATAATAGGTGTTTTATCTAAGATGAAGATGAATATATTTTGTATTTCTTCCATCTAGATAAAGATAAAGATGATCTATTTATTTATCTAAATGATTATTTAGGTAATTTTATCTAGATACCGGCAAACACTGCCAGTGACAAATGAATATGTGGCTCGCCGATTAGGCTTGGTTTTCTCTCGGGGACTCGTAGTTCTCGAGTTGAGCGAGAGCGAACGTGGATCTTTCCGATAACTCACCGGCACGCCCGCTGGTAAAAAACGCTCGAGAGAAGCGAGAGGTATGATAAAACAGTCGCGGTCCAAAGTGGCCAAGGAGATTGGTTCGCCTCGTGGTGGACTGTTTCCAGAAACCACGAGGGGCGTATAGGCGCCGGAAGCAGTACGGTTGCCGCTGAAGGATACCTGCCGACAAAAGTCGTGACATAGTTAGTGAATTGTAACAGGAGCACATGTGGTAAGCTAATATTCACGGTTAAACGTTACATATCGCGGAATACAGTACCCAGTTCACATGTTGTAATGTAACACGCTAATTGTTGAGTTATTAATTAATGAAGCTTCTATATATGGCTATTTTCAATCAATGATAACTTGGAATTTTGCGTGTTATGCGTTTCACAAAAGGAATACTTTTCTGCTCTTTTCTTATTATAGTTTATACCCATTCTACTTGCACATCACGGGAACCGAGATTAGTTTGGGATACCCTGTATATAATATTTGCGTGTGTGGACACATCT